TCGTGTTAACTGAGTAGTTAACTATTGAGTCGTGTTAACTGAGTAGTGAACTATTGAGTCGTGTTAACTGAGTAGTGAACTATTGAGTCGTGTTAACTGAGTAGTTAACTATTGAGTCGTGTTAACTGAGTAGTGAACTATTGAGTCGTGTTAACTGAGTAGTTAACTATTGAGTCGTGTTAACTGAGTAGTTAACTATTGAGTCGTGTTAACTCAGTAGTTAACTATTGAGTCGTGTTAACTGAGTAGTTAACTATAGAGTCGTGTTAACTGAGTAGTTAACTATAGAGTCGTGTTAACTGAGTAGTTAACTATAGCGTCGCCTCAGCTTGGACGAGCATAACTTGAGGATAAGTTGACAAGATACAAATAATTACCAACAATACCTTACCTATTATAGATACCCAATATACACAAAATATTTTTATCCTGGGAAACACAGTTTTTTTGGTTACCCAGAATGTTAAAATTGACGAATTATGTCTTTTTTTTTTTGGTCGGTTAGCACTACAATCACCTTTTGTGGTTGATTGTTCAATAAATCGCTGAACTATATGTTTAACACATCTCCCACCCTGTCCATGGAGGACAGAATAAAATGTATATATGCTGGTTAGCATTGTAAATGTCTGGCCACGTCTGTAGTAGAAAAAAAAACCTTAGCACCCAGGCCTTGCCTGCTCCTCACCCCTGGCGCCTAGCCTACTCTGTCTTGGCCGGGACAGTGTGAGACTATCTTGTTTGAGGAGCTGTTCACTTGAGACAGTTAAGCAAGTCTCAGCTGTGTCTGGGTACAAGTGACAGGATGAACAACCCAGCGGGTTTTCTTCCTATTGGGGAGTGTTGTACATGCTGCTATGGCGGTGTGTCCACTCAGGGGATAAGTGGCGCTGCCCAATACTGTCACTATGGCGGTGTGTCCACTCAGGGGATAAGTGGCGCTGCCCAATACTGTCACTATGGCGGTGTGTCCACTCACAGGATGAGTGGCGCTGCCCAATACTGTCACTATGGCGGTGTGTCCACTCACAGGATGAGTGGCGCTGCCCAATACTGTCACTATGGCGGTGTGTCCACTCACAGGATGAGTGGCGCTGCCCAATACTGTCACTATGGCGGTGTGTCCACTCACAGGATGAGTGACGCTGCCCAATACTGTCACTATGGCGGTGTGTCCACTCACAGGATGAGTGACGCTGCCCAATACTGTCACTATGGCGGTGTGTCCACTCACAGGATGAGTGACGCTGCCCAATACTGTCACTATGGCGGTGTGTCCACTCACAGGATGAGTGGCGCTGCCCAATACTGTCACTATGGCGGTGTGTCCACTCACAGGATGAGTGGCGCTGCCCAATAAACTCGCCCCTCGGGGCAAAATTAAATTAATTAAGTGTGAGACTAGGCCTGTTCTACAAGTGACCGGAATGTGTATGCCTTCCAGTACAATAACAAATTTTCTCTACTGCTCCCTCTTTTGTACATATAATTCCCTCTTCCATATATTTCTTATTTCCTAGTTTATTAGCTGGCGTATTTTACCCTCTCCCACATTCCTTATTTATATTCCAAGCCTCATTCTACAAGTTATTGTTATATTCAATGTCATTACATCATATGTTCCTTTTATGATATTCAGTTCAATGTAATTTCAACTCAATTACTCCAATTTATTTGATCCTGTCATGATTCCAGGTAGCCTAGCCGAGGCTGCCTCGCATGAGAGCTTTTCCCTCTCACCCGTTCTTTTGTGGTTTAATCTGTTGTTGTTGTTTAAGATTCAGCTACTGGGAACTATAAGTTCCAAGTAGCACGGGCTATGGTGAGCCCGTAGTGAACTTACCCGGCACAGGAGCGGGGCTGTAACTTGAGGTGGTTTAATCGTTCGTGCCAGTATATTTGAGTTAGACAAGGTATAGGTAGGATCAGTCCGAGTGTGACTATATGAGTTTAGGGACGATTATGTGGTGAGGAGAGCTTGGGGAGGCGAGGACATTCTCCCGCCTAAAGCAGGAACGTGCCAGAGCCTTTAGAAGCTCAAGACACCACGCCAAGCTACCATGACAACCAAGAAAGACTCATGTAGATGGTCCATCTTGTAGCGTCGTGCAAGATCGTGCAAGGCGGCCCGGAGAGTTGATATTAATTGTATAACCGTGACGCCTCACTCAGCCTAGAGACATCAGAGGTACACTGATGCTCGTCTCCGGTTGGACCTGCTTGTCTAATTTGATTTAATAAAGCGGGGGCAGATTACTAGTAAATCATTGTGGGTAATCTGGGGTAAGTTATGCTTATCCAGATTACTAGTTATCTGGGTCAGTGCCCGCTCTCAATGTTGGACGGTGAAATTTGTGGGGCAACGCCATGGCTACTTTATTGCGTTTGAACCAATAACTTTATCACAGGACATGCTTATATATTTTTGTGGCCTAGTATCTGTATTAAGAAATGAGAACTGAGAGATGAATGATACAATGGATAAGCTGTAGACATTTCTTTGTGAGTAACGATTTGTTGACCGATAACGATTCTGAATTTGTTAGGCTGCATTATTCTTACGGTCCCATTTCCAGGGACAATTTCTGGCAGTATTATAGTTTCATTTGATTGTGAGATACATGTCCATTATTTACACTATTCTGTAAACAAGATTTTTCTTGCATTGAGCTATCTGGACAACTATTATAGTGGACAGTAGAAAACATTGCGATATATTTGAAATGTATAATAACTAATAGTGATTTCGTGGCCGAGAAACTAGGCTACTCAATTCTTTATTGAAGACTGGACAACATCAATGCGGCTACGATTATTGATGACGTTAATTAATTTATGATAAAAGATGTACACATTTTTTATTGGGGTAAAGTCATGCTAAATTTGGGCATAGTTTGAATTACTCGTACCTTGAAACCCTGAGGTGAGCGCACAAGCAATTCTGACCAACAGCTTACCCTAACCTTTCATTACATCAGGCTGTATTGCAATAGAGTGGGGAACAGATTCGAGTAAGCCGACTGCAAGAAATCATTGCACATGAGGCTGTGGCCTAATGGACTTCGTCAGCATGCTTTGGTGACAGGGGCTCGAACTGGCCCCTGTGGCGGTTCCCCACGTCCAGGTAACGGCCACAGGTATATACAGCCGTTGCTGATATATACACATAACAAATTTGCAACAAATTTAGTGTGACGAAAGGTGTGGCTTGAGGTGATGGGGTCCCAGTTCTCCCATGTTGACCAGACCACACACTAGACATTCTCAAGTCGACAATCGACTTGAGAATGGTCCAGGATAGACCGAAACGTCGTCGTATCTTCACCTTCTAGTGTGTGGTCTGGTCAACATACTTTAGCCACGTTACTGTGATTCCTCGCCTGCACCCAGTTCTCCCACTTCATCACACCTCATATCTCTTGATATCTTTCACACAAATTATTTTATTCCCATACGGCGTTTCGCTCACACCTTCAGAATATTTAAACTGACGATTATATGCGTGTTTTTTGGTGGGTCGCTGCTTGGACAAGCACAGTCTGATTAAAGATGGTAAATCACACGAAAAATCAGTTAAGGTTCGAGCAGCTTCTCTTCCATGGTGTTAATAACTCAACCACTTGGACTAGTTTGTAGAGCGACGGCCATGCTTCTTGTAAGGTCGGCATTCGATTCCCGAATGGTCCAAATGGTTGCGCATCGTTCCTTCACTCCGGCCTCCTTGTCCTCATATCCCAGCTCCTTGTCCTCATATCCCAGCTCCTTGTCCTCATATCCCAGCTCCTTGTCCTCATATCCCAGCTCCTTGTCCTCATATCCCAGCTCCTTGTCCTCATATCCCAGCTCCTTGTCCTCATATCCCAGCTCCTTGTCCTCATATCCCAGCTCCTTGTCCTCATATCCCAGCTCCTCGTCCTCTTATCCCTTCCAAGTGCTATAGATAATCATGGTGGCTTAGCGCTTTCTCCTGATAAATAACTACTAGCTTTTTACTAAATACTTAAAAATATTTTTTAGGTTGGGATTTACGCATAGTAAGGCCTAGGATAGGTTAGGCGAGGTGTTTTGGTTATGTTGACTGAGGGACTTACAACCTGGCCTCAGGCTATGTTCATTCCATGCAGTGGCCGACCCCAAAGACTCATTCAGCACTTTTAACATGCTGTTCATTCAAAATAGGAATGTTCTCAAATATAAAATGACATTATTATACATTAGCATACTGTGCATATTTAGGCATTGGTTAGGTTAGGTGTTTAGGTTCTGTTGGCGATTATTTGTATTTGTAGTACGTGGGTGAAGCATTTACAGCGTTGTGGTTCGAACAAAATTCGTCAGTGAAGCATTTGTTCCGGAAGTGTTCGAACGTCAGCAGTTGTGAGTCGTGTGTAACCAGCCCGTCCTCCAAACAAAGATCCAAAAGTGATTCCATCCACCCGCCAAACCCCCTGTTTATGAATGAAAAGCGGTTTACACACAACTCACAACTGCTGACGTTCGAACATTTCCGGAACAAGTGCTTCACTGACGAATTTTGTAGGAACCACAACGCTGTAAATGCTTCACCCACGTACTACAAATACAAATAATCGCCAACAGAACCTAAACACCTAACCTAACCTAACCTATGCCTATATATGCACAATATGCTAATATATTATAATATTAATTTATACTTGAGAAAATTCCCGTTTTGAATGAACAGCAAGTTAAAATTTATGAATCCGTCAGTGGGGTCGACCGCTGGATGGAATGGACTTGAGTAGAGTCGTGTGTAAACCTTTTTTTTCATTTTGGCGGCTAGATTAACCAAGATTTGGTCTTTGTTTACGAGAACGGGCTGATATTTGTTGGGCTTGGGTGAAATATTTCGGGATTCGAACAGACAACTGTTCGAGGAAAGTTCAAAGTTATGCTTATGCGGATGGACTGGATTAACGAACCTTTGTTGATACAGACAGACTGGCAGAAACTTTGGACAACGAAGTTCGAACACTTAC